CACACACACACACACACACACACACACACACACACACACAGACAGAGTGTTATTGCTTTGATCCCTATAGTGCTGTGTTCTGGCTGTAATAGAGAGCTGCTCCACCTTCCAGTTCCCGGCGGAGAGGTTCTGCAGGGACCCGGCGGCCCCCTCCAGCGTGGGGGGGTTGGAGCTCTCCGCCAGCAGGTTGAGGTACGGCTTCACCACCATGGGGTGCCACAGCTGCTCCGCCCCCCTCAGGTGCTGAGAGAAGCCTGGGATGGGCCCCACGCCGTCCCACTGCAACACACACACACACACACACACACACACACACACACACACACACACACACACACACACACACACACACACACACACACACACACACACACACACACACACACACACACACACACACACACACACACACACACACACACAAGATGTTGAATAACAAATCAGAGGCATTGTATTTTTATATAGGGTCTTCTTTATATACATCCTTCTACTCTTGATATGATATGTTTATATTTATTTGATTAACTTAGTTAACTTGTGATTCACTAAAACTATTTCTCAATTAATATCTAATTTAAACTGATCTACATCTCCTAGAGTGAAACATTAAATATACAATAAACATTACAAATACATTTTTGTTATTAAATAGTGACAAAAGTGCAGGAAATATATATTCATATAAATGAAACAGCTAAAACAGAATGTAAAATTAGATACTGTATAGAAAAATAATATACTTTATTCTGTTATAAAATATAAATGATTCTAATTGTAGTTTTACTTTTATTGTTTTAAACTATGCACTTCCATCTTATTTTGTCATGTAGACGTCCTCCCCTCTGAGGGTGTACCTTGTCGTCGGGCCAGCCCCCCCTCTTCCGCCCGCGCCTCCTCTTGCCCCAGCAGATGTAGTCCAGCTCCTTCCCCGGGGAGGAGAAGCCCAACAGGGTGTCCAACTCCTGGTTCCCCAGCAGCCGGGAGGACGGCATCTCCACCTCCAGCCGGTACGAGAGGTTCCTCAGGGTGCACACGCTGTTCTCCACAATCTGAGAAACACAGTGTCAGCAGCTTTATGTTCAACACAGAAAACATAATGACATGTTCCTCAAGCTGTCCTGTTAACAGATCCTCTATAACTACTACGTGTACAAAGACATTGACTTTTGGTTGAATTCCTAACCTGTGAAGTGTTTCTCTGAAAAACGTAAGATCCAGATGTTCCATGACTAAAATACTTCTTCTATTATTATTTAATATTATTTTAGATTCTAGCTTAAAACTGGATTAAAAGTGAATTCATGGAGACTTCTGGCAGTTGATGCAAGAATGTGATCACATTAAAAGCGCTTTTACTTTACATTTCTCTGGGTTTGAAACATATGGAATAATGTTAGCACACAGTTCAACTAAATATTTAACAAAGGCAAGTTGTTTTTACACATCTTAATGCAGAAGTGCGAGGTTTTATACCTTAAATTGCACATGTAGTATTTAAATATGACTATAAATACTACCACTAAAATGTGTATTAACCCAAACTGTTGTGCAATAGCTCTGGTTAGGTGCCATTTTTACTTTTTCTTATCAGTTTGTATTTTATTACCGGCTGATCGTTCACTACTTTTATATCTTTACCTATTGGGATAATGCTGCTACGCTTCATTTTTTTACGTGCTTGCCTCTTTATTTAATACGCTGCTTTACTCTTCCTTTTATCTGCACGGTCCCTTTTGCTGCAAACATTTCAATTTCCCTGATTTCTGAATCTCACACTTTTTTGAGGTTCATTTTTACATTTAAGGATTAAGATGAAAGATTATAGTTAGATGTAATCAATGCACATAACATACTGTATTCAATATGTTGTCTTTCATTACTGCACACATTTTATTCCAATTCTATTTCTAGGGTTACAAACATATTCAATGTAAATACTGCTATTTTTTACTATATTGTTTATGTTATTATAGTTTTCTGCAAATAGTTTCTATCTGTGTTTTTAATCTTTGTTTTATTTTATGTATTCACCAAAAGACCAAGTCAACCTACCTGGTGATAAACCTGTTTCTGATTCTGGGTTAGGTTCAATCTCCCAGGAATACATTGATACAGTGTGTGTGTGTGTGTGTGTGTGTGTGTGTGTGTGTGTGTGTGTGTGTGTGTGTGTGTGTGTGTGTGTGTGTGTTTTGCTGCACCTTGCTGTCGTAGTCGGAGGTGTTGACGCAGGCTTTGAGGACGTGAAGCAGTGAGTCCACCAGACCTTCACAGCAACGCAGCTGACTCCTCGCCTCCTCCCCTGCTGAGCTCAGGTTCCTCACACACACACACACACACACACACACACACACACACACACACACACACACACACACACACACACACACACACACACACACACACACTAATTCACTTTGAGGTGCAGTGAGTGTATTCCCCCACATGGTGGCTTAAACTCTCCCCGGATACAAGTAAAGGAGCGAGCTGATCCTCCAATAGGAGCCTTCAGCTGTCACTAATGGACAAGAGAACACTACACAGAACTCCCACAATGCATTTCTATACCATCAATCTACAGCCTGGATACAGAGGAGTGCTGGGGGCTTCTTGTGTGCAGAGATGTAGTTTAAAGCGGTCACAGGGAATAAATCAACAGCCGTTTGAGAGCAGTCATAATCACAGATGAGAGATGGAGCCATTCAAATGCATTTTGTTTGATTAGTTTGAATTAAAGTTACGGTTATGGATTCTTTCTGCAAGTTATTACGTTGGGAAATTCGCCTGGATTATATGCAGATAATAATCACCAACTATTTTGATAATTAAAAGTCATTCTTTGTGCAAAAAGGGGTAAAAAAAAAATGCAGCTTAAATGAGGAGATATGCTGCTTTGAGATGAATATCACACCTTAACATTTCTCACTATTTATTGCGACATTTTATTAACCAAATAATTCATATAGTAGGCAGGTTAATTATTAAAGCTGACAATATCCTTAATTAAAATCATGATGGTTGTGTAGCTGCAAAGTGGGTCATTTGAGGGTTGAATAAGATAAATATCAGAGCAATATGTATCAAATGTATTTGGTATTGCAAAATAAGAAATATGCAATGTGTTAAGCTGCTGAATAATCTGGGTTTCCACGGCTCTGTATTCTAAAAGACGCCTTTTAATGAGCCAAAGCCGCGTGGCTTTATATTCAGCTCCTTTTATGGGTGTCAAATTGATGAATCATTATCCTAGGCTTTGATTTTTAACTCATGACGTCGCTGTTATTTGCTTCTACAAACCATTGTGTTCAAAGATAATCGCGATTTCTCTTTGAAGAATATGTGGCTGTGATTCAAGCAGCGTGGACAACCAGCAAACCCAAAAGTCATCCTAATATCTATTTTAATTTAGAAAGGATTTGTTTAGTGTTGGGGCTTTTAAATGAGAAAAGGATGTGCTGTTCAAATGTGAAACAGTGCTGATAACTAGGCGTAAACACGATGGAGGATCTTTTTTGTTTCTTTTCTACAAGACTTGAGCTGTGTTGAAACCAGAGAATGGAATAGAATGAATGAAGTGCAACACCTTCAGCAGGAGTGCGTTTGATCGGCTGCTCACCTCAGGCAGCCGGTGGTGTTGCGCAGCAGCAGCGAGGACTGGAACTTGACTTTGTGTTCGTCGCGGTGGGAGAGGCTGCTCCAGCCCGAGTGGGGGATGACCACGGTGTTGGTGAGCGTGCTCAGAGCGTCCCGGATGATCGTCATCTTCACCGCGTCACACGAGGAGAGGTTCCACAGCACGCCTGGGGGGGGGGAGGAGAGATAGGTTTAAAGATGAAAAGCTTCCTGAAGCACAAGTACTGAAAACAGAACAATTATGAATGGTGGTAAGTCTACTGAAAAGTACCAGAGTGTAGGAATACTCTGTTACAGTAAAAGTCCTGCATTCAAATGTTCCTCAAGTGAAAGTAGAAAAGTATTCTCATCAAAATCTAGTGAAAGTAGCGACAGTAAAAGTAGTCATTGTGCAGATTGGTCCATTTCAGAATAATAGATATTATATGTTTTATAATTATTGATCATGAAAGTGTTCTCAAAGCTGGTAAAGGTGCAGCTAGTTTGAATGTAAAGTTTTTAGTAGAGTACAAAGTAGCATGAAATAGAGATGCTCAAGTAAAGTACAAATATCTCAAAATTGTACTAGAGTAAATGTACTTAGTTACTTCCCACATCTGCTTTCTCGTGATGTAATGTATGTTCGGTCTTATTTCTGAAAATAGTTTTTATAATAAAGCAAATAGCGCCTTTGAACATTTTGTTTGCTCTTTTTCTTCTTCTAAAACAAATCAGAGTACCATACTTTCGTAACTGATATCTTTTTAACATTCAACAGAGTAGGGTTGTCCTGCATCCACCACTCTAAAACGTGTAGATTTAATCATCAAGATCCTGACCTGAGCCTTAGAATACAACATTCCACAGAATATGAGGTGTGTATCAGCTGATATTAAGCAGTGTGTGTGTGTGTGTGTGTGTGTGTGTGTGTGTGTGTGTGTGTGTGTGTGTGTGTGTGTGTGTGTGTGTGTGTGTGTGTGTGTGTGGCTGCAGAGCTGTTTCCAAAGCACGTTATCTTAGCATCTGTCCCGATGACTGTGCCAGTATGCATTTTAAGACCATCATGTATAGATTTAAGTATGTTAACTTAATACATTAATGCCAACGAGGATCTGTTGCCGGTCAACATCCTTGTGACGTGCTGCTGGTAGTGGTTTGATAGCCGCTGTCTGTCATTTTTTGCTCTCACGCTCCTCACTAATATGATAACTAGATGCTCACTCACACTTTGCTATCAATTACACCTACGCTGCGCACTATGTTGCGAGCTCAGCGTCAGCATGACAGTCAATATGAATAAAGTTTATTATCACACTTAATCACCAGACAACATCACACATCACTTTCAGAATAACAGCAATGAGCTCTAAGCATTGTAGAAGCCTAGACTCCTCACACACCATCACACGGACTTAACACTGAGACACACACACCACCCCACACACCACACACACACACACACAGCACACACACACACAGCCACACACACCACCACACACACCACAGCACACTACCACGAGCTCTCAACATATTTCATATTTCTACATCACATCATACACATCCACTCATATCTCATTTCCACACTCATCACCTCTACTATGCGGTGTTCAATGTGTTGATATGTTATTGGTGAGTATGGATTGCTGATTAGTTTACGAGATAACAGACCCTAAACCCAACACTGGTGACATTTTAGGATTTTATGAATGAAGATACACCTTTCCTCCACGTTTTCACCATCTTGTCTTAGTTTAAGCACATTAGAATAGTAAAAATAGCATATTGCATACAGTTCATTGCTCATTGCAGATTGCATTTCACCATAAGACATCAGAGTGATCTGCCTCAAAGGGTCTTTGAGTGAAGGTGTATCAAGTATTATTGACTTCTATTTTTCAGTCCCAAGCATTGTTGTTTTGCTTTCTTTTTTTTCCCTTGACACGCTGAATTCAGTTTTTTTGTGGGGTTGATTTAGCAAAAAACAGGCTGAAGGCGGAAGGCAAGCGCGAAAAACACTAGAGAAGCGTCCACTAATGCAGGGGTGTCCACCACTACGGTCCGGGGGCCACTGTTCCCTCGGGTCTATTTTTGATTGGTTACTTTCTAAATAGTTATAATGGAACATGCGACAGCATCTGAAACCGGTGTGCTTCACACTCAGTGGCGGTTTCTACGAGGTGGCACGGGGTGGCAAGCTGCCACCTCAGAAAAATGCCTTTGGCCACCCCAGCTGCCACCCCCATTTGGGCCAGCTTTGTTTTGAAGAATAGAAGTTGTGGCTCATCGAACATTTATGAGAGAAAATCTCTAATGTCCGAGTGCAAGTGAATGCAGCACAAGACACCGAGCCTCGTAACCGCCTCGCCCCCCCCCTTGCGCGAGCTGGAAATATGATCGCGTGGAGATTTCATTTGAACGGGAGACAAGCGGCCCAAACGAGAAAGCATTCGGATACAAGTTAGACAGAAACAGTGGTGTAGTGGGCCGTTGGACGCGGGGGTACGGCCGTACCCCCACTTATTTGAACCCATGATTTCTTGTTTTTAATAGTCTAATACATCTAAAATCATTGCCAAGTGTTATCAGTTGCAAATGTGTGTCTTGTTGTATTAATGACACGAAAACATAATACGGCAGAGTTTCACCAGTAATGTATATATAAAATAACGGTTCTAGCTCAAGCATTTATGCAGCAACTTGATTTGAAGCGTGTGGTGTGTGAGGGCGCAGGAACCGTCGTGTGTAGGGTGACCCAGGTGTCCCCGCACTGTGGCGGGACTGCACACACAGCATTTTTATTATTTGTCGCCTCGTCTCACACATTGAGGACTATGTCCCCGCATTTGAGTGGATAATCGCGCAGAAAGGCCGGATCGGTTCGCTGGACAGCATCATGTAAGGCTTGCGCTAACAGGCGAAACAGAAGTCCCCCAAGCCCCCCCGCCCCCCCCCTACGTTGACAGTTCAGCGAGCGGCGAGTGTTCTCCCCGTACACCCACCACCACCGTCCACCCAGTAAACAATCCCGCACTATACCTACTGGACAGAAGGAATGAGGTTTGCGGTCAGGGTAATGAACTGGGGTAGGCTACAGCCATAACCATAAACGACGGGCTTATCCGCCACCATGAAAAATTATGTTAAAGTAACGCAACAAAGTCTGGCCAACTCCGCGCGGAGTAAATTGCAGCAGAGCAGCATTAGTAAGATTGATTTCAGTAGCCACTTGTTGCTGGAAATAACGCGAAGACTAGCAACGGTTTTGAAACTTTTGTCACGTAGTGATCGTCTTCTCAAATAGAACAATATCTTTGATAATGTCTTCTGGCCAATCAGAATCAGCTGATAACAGGGCTTGGTGTTGTTGCAGGAAGTCCCAGAAGGAGAATACTTTTGCTGTATACTCTCTATAGTACACTCCGGTACAACTATAAGACCGCCACAGTTTGATGATGATAGGTGTGTGGGCTGTCATTATCATTTGACACACCAGAAGCAATGGGGGGGTATCGCACCGCTTATCCACAAATGTAAAGTCATTCAGCACAGCCTCTCCCTCTCCGCTCTCTGTGAGGAGCAGCAGGTTCAGCTTTCAGAACAAAGTAAGCAAAAAACTAAAATGGGGCATTCATTTTTTTAAATACGTTGTGTAGCTATATATACTTTATTTATTTTTCTTGCTCAAGAGAGGCACCAGAATGTGTATTTGATGTTAGTATATTCAAAAAAATCTCGCTGGGGGAACCCGCCGCAGACCAACCCTGCAGGGGTTGGGTTTTCACTCTTTCCACCTGAGGGGAATTGGCAGATTGGCTGCCCAGTTCGCCCTTTTTATTTACAGCAAGACCATCGTAGCGCGGTTTTTATTTGCAATACAGTTCAATTTGGATTGAGACAAGGGAAATAACTCTAAACTCACGGGTGGCCGGGTTTCACTGTTCAAGGGAGCGTGTATGGTAATTACAATTGCAAATACTGAACTGAGCCCCGCACCACTGTATGGGTTGGCCCTACGCCATAGATTACCCCCAACAAAAATACTCTGGAAGCCCGCAACTGTTTTGCCGGTCTACTATGACAGAGAAGAGGCCTGTCAAGTTTGGCTGTACTCAGCATTGAATCAAACGGCGCGCATAGCTTTAAATCTTAGATACATTTGGTGAGGCCGTTTGGCTGGTCAAGATGGTTAATCGCCACATTCACAGCTGTAATAGGCCATGCCAACTTGATGCTCACGGACGATGAGTCAATGGAGAATACATAAACCCCGGCTGTTTAAGAAGATGACCTTAGCATGTGTTAAATACATGTTTTCTTCTTTGTGGGGGTCTGGACCCGCACAAAACAGTTTCAGTCCTGAGAAAGTCAAATAAGACAGGTGTAAAAAGTTTTCCCCTTCACTGGCCCAGCCAAAAAAAAGTAACTACTCTTGATTTAACTAGTAGACCAGTAGGGTAAGGACTTCACTCGATAATGAACTTCGCAGCGATGTATATGTTGTTAGCTGAATACACGTTTTTTAACCTCTAACTGATGCAGTTAGCTACTTCTTTAATGTTTGTTATTTTCTTGATGTAAGGTCAAGGTTGTAAGCTGTTTGCAATGAAGTTGTTGGGGCGGCTGAACTGTTCTTTTGATTCTTTAGAATTATGATAGTAATTACTGGTCTTTCAAATTTGAAGGAGGGTGAGCAAGCATCTTGAGGAACGTTCATCATTAACTCCTCCAAAAAATATAGTTTATTTAATAATAACACTGAATATGTGAATCATAACAGTGATTGACAGCTGATAGGAATAATATGATTGTTAATATTATCATATTCATACAGACACACATCGATGAGACAGTTAATTAATGTATTTATTGCAGCAGTCTGCATAATTTGGTACCCCTGCTGGTCTAAGAGTTAAACCAACTCATTCAGTTAAAATTCATTAAATTAAGTACGTGTGCCACCTTATATATTTATATTTAAGGCTTTACTGATGGGCCATAATAATGTTACCTAATGTTATTGAGTTAAAATATCAATATTGTGGCTTTCCAAGTTAACATTGATTGATATGACTGCGATTAAATCAGCATATACTTCTGCCAGGGGATGCCACCCCTGAAATTCTCCTGCCACCCTCTTGCCACCCCATGAATATTTGTCTAGATCCGCCCCTGGCTTCACTTATAATGTTCTTCTTAAATATATATTTAAGCAATAGCTCACGACAGGCCTTGGTATATGGTCATTATATCACAGTTAATGGGCGTGGTTCGGCCCGACGTGAAGCCTTTCTTAAGCTTTGTTAGTTAGTTAGTTTCGTAACGGACGTGATGTAACAGTTGTAACGGTTGTAGCTTTTCTCAGACGCGGAGGGATACTGACTTGTTGTGAAAAGTACTACAATTCCACCCGTGATATACGCTCATTATATCACGGCTAAGAACCAATCAGATTGCTTGATTTGACTTTTCTAATTTGTATAAGTTTTATAAGTAGAAATATATTTCACAGTATTCATGTGTTAATAAGCCCAATGTTTGAATACATTCAGTCAATTCAAGTTGAAAACATTTTCTAACAAATCTTAGTTACCAGCATTTGTTGTAACAAAATGAAAATAATCAAACCTTTAAGCATATTCGTCTGCATATGCGTCTTTGAGCACCTGTAAAAGCGCTAACAAATGAAATCTATTATTATTATTATATTATTATTATTATTATTATTCAATCATCAAGAATCATCTACCTACATTTGATTGATTTTGCAAACTTATAACTTACTATATGAGGCTACTGTATGGCCCTAATGCATTAAAAGAAGATCGCTAGCAAGTCATAATATTTAAAAATAATCTCCTTTGAAAATGGAGAAAACCTGTCAAGGATACCCACAATGCATGTTGTTGAGAACCAATGAAGTTAAACATTGTGTCAGTGCACGAGAAATCCCTTCAGATCACATCTGGACGTACCGGTGACGAGTTCGCGGACCTCGTTGTCGGTGGTCTTCCTGAGGAGGCGCAGCAGGGCGGGCACCCCCCCGCAGTTCCTCAGCGCCACCTTGTTGTTGTCTGTGGCCTTCCCGTACACCAGGTTCCTCAGGGCCCCGCAGGAGCTCTTCTGGACCTCCGTCAGCTTGTGATCCAGCAGGTCCACCAGGTGCTGGATCCCCCCCATCTGACACACCTGCAGAGGGGAGTTATACACAAAGTACAATCAACAACACGGATTAATTAAGCCAATCAAGAGCAGCTGGGAGTGTGTTCTGCCTTGCTGCAGGGATGTAAAAGTGTCATACTTCTTTATTTTCATCGTGGTGATGCAGAGTCAGTCAAAAATAACAGCAGCCACGTCACCTCTTTAAAAATCACGGATATAAAGAAACACCAAACTATTTTAGCACTTTGGTAAAGCTTTCACAAAACCATAATCAGTACTTTTCATTAGTACTTCATTTATCCCGGGGAGAATCGTTTTTTGTAACATTTAACAAAATTCACAAATTAAATTAAAAAAAGATAAAAAACTAAATATAGAATAAGAATATTTCAGAAATCATAACATGTTAAAACAAATGTGCGAAAAAAGATAATTATACAAACGTATGGAGTCAAAATGAAGTACAATTGAAATAATAATGACAATTAGAATTAAAATAATAATAATAATAATCATGATGATAATAATAATAATACAAATAAAAAGTGCACATTGTGCTACAATATACAGTTTATTTATTATAACACATAAAGTGATGAAGTTTCAAATACACCACACTTGTATACAGCAGTAAACTAGTAGTAGTATTAATATGGTTGATCTAATGTAGTAGATCTTAATGCTAAATTGCGGTGTTTCTTTTGGAGTGAAAGTGGGGCTGCACCATGCTAAATCCCCCCCTGTGGCATGTTTGAAACTTTGCTTGTGTCATCTCTAAATAAAGGCGTCTCAGGAGAGCAGCAGACTCCACCCCCCCACCTCTGATTCTGTGTTCAATCCGCCACAGAAAACATTTGTTTCTGGCAAAATGAGCAGGCGAGCTTCCAGGCTGCTCCAAAGGATAATTAAAAGCTCATCACCAAACGAACCAAACGGCACTGAAACGTCTCCTGCCGTTGAGCTGGAGTTATTTATTGCCCGGGAAGCGGAGCACAGAGAGAGAGAGAGAGCGGCGGCACATTTGGCACCGACGCTACCTAAAGTTTTATTGGAGCAGATGGCGCTTTGGCTCAGAGTTTGGCAGCGGAGAAAAACTAAATATGAAACCCTTAGAATAAACTCTAAGAAAGAGAGCAGAGATACAATGAGAGATATGAGGCGATGTAAATGAGCAACACTTGTAGCAATGAGAATTCAATCAATCAAAAGTTAATCACTAAATAATATCCTACTTTTACATCTTGCTGTAATTTGGCTCTTTATAGGGTTTATTTGACTGTTTGTATGTTTCACTGTAAACATGTATGTATTTTACTTTTGAGTTCTTCTGTTTTCTACTTTGAGATTTTGATGCTTTGTATGCCATACTCTTGTGTCCGAAAAAATCTTATCTTATCTTCACCTGCATGTGTGAAATAAGTCCTTGCATTCTGGGAAGTGTTTTAAATGTGCCTCGTCAAATAGTTCCTTTAGGAAAACATGGGTTTTATCTGCATGCATTTTAAATCTGTCTTTAAAAGGAGTGAAGGCTGACAGCAGCACCTTCCTCCACCTGAGGACTGAGTCACGACTCTGACGTCTGCTTTTCTATTTTTACTCAGCAGACAGCGGCGCAGCGTGTCCCCGTCCCCTCACCTCCACCTTCACCCGGTTGTCTCCGTAGCACAGGTGCTGCAGGTAAGCGGCTGCGTTGGCCTGCACCGAGGGGAAGTGGTGCTGCAGCATGTGGATGACCTCCGGCAGCTCGGGGTCACGCCAGGCAAACTCCCTGAGGGGAAAAACGTACACTTGGTCTCCTTTTTCCACCAGGAAGTATCACCAAGCAACAGCTGTTCAAGATGCAGGTTCAAGTAAATACATTGGGACGACGAAGTTACTATTTCATTTGAAATGTAATCACTAAATAAGCAAACAACTCTGATATTGATATTTGTCATGACAGTAAAAAACGTATATAAATAAAAATGCATTTTTGCAAAAACATGGATCACAGAAAAGTCAAAAACTAAATAAATGATATTTTAATAATGCACACATGATGATATTGTGTTTGTAGATATTAGGCCTGGTTCAAATGTATTTGAATGGAAATTCATTTTTGTAAAAACCTGGATATGTAACCAAAGTTAAGAATTCATTTTACATAACTATTTATTTATTTATTTATTGTCATAATAATAATAAACTTTATTGATATTGCACCTTTCATGCTTGACGCAGCCCAAAGTGCTTTACAGAGTATGACAGAAAATGACATTAACAAATGAAGTGATACTACAACCAAAATTACAATTGCCCCAAATTATAAGCCAAATTAAAAAGATCGGTTTTTGATTTACTTTTAAAAGTTTAAATTACTTTAAAATCTGATACTATGATGGTCTTAAAATGCATACTGTGTATCTTGACTCTTCTAAAGTGAGTACCTGGGGTCCTTATGGATGCTCTCGAGGGAGGGGGTGCGCGTGGCCCCCCGCTCGATGAGCCCAGAGTGGCGGTGGGAGAAGACGGGCTCCCGGTAGGGGTCCACGTACAGAGCGGCGGTGCTCAGCCCGAAGCTGCTTCTTTGGAACGGCAGCGTGCCGCAGTGGCTCGAGGCCCGGGGGAGGGTCGCCAAACCTGAGGGAAGAAAGGGGGGAGAAACTGAGCAGGATTTGAAACACATTTTACAAAGGTTTTGATTCCTCTGAGTTCAAAATAGCAGCATTTAGATAGTATGCAGTTTGCTATCGAGAGCAAAATGCATCCAAGGTCACATATGAGTTACATAAGAGCCTAAAAGAGGCGTTTGAAAGCACTCGGCTGTCTCACAGGTTTAAATCTCAGCTAAATGAAACTAAAATGGCTCCTTAGATCCTCCACTATCGAAACTCCGCAGAGCTTTCCGCTTTGAATCACTCTGCAAAGGCTTCAATTAAGAAGCACATGAAAGCTTTCTGCATAATTAAGTTGTGACCTCGGGGAGCCATAACAACAACAGTTCCTGTGCCTGCAGGACCAGATTTCACTCGCTGATTTTTAGAGGAATAATCTTCAGAACAGATGTGAAAGTTAGCCGGGTTTCTCAACCTGGGGACCGGGGCACCTGAGGGGGACGCTGATGTGAAAATACGTCGTTTAAAGTTTTGATAGTGAGTTATTTGGAGGATTAGTGAGCGTTAATGTCATCATCACAACTGCTGCTCAACTTCTGTTTGTATTTTATAGTTTTACTACTGTAAGGATAGCTAGACCCTCCAGAAAAACGCGATCCTGCGATCGCAGAATTTACCGCATAATCAGCAAAATGGCGCAGTTTTTTAAAAAGCCGCATATTTATCAAAAGGCCGCATAATCCCCGCATTTTTCCACACAAAGTTGAGAAAAAAGTTAACTCGTCTTGACGTGAAGTAGTGATGATGATGACGTGACGTCATCAGCTGGCGCATCACAGAAGGTAAACAACACCGTAGAGTGAACGTGTGGAACTCACACGACGAACATTTCTGCTAAAGACCGGGCAAAGCAGTACCCCGATGTCTTTCACGAAAGTGGGGGGAAACTATTCTGCACCCCGTGCAACTGTGTGTTGGAGCATACGTCTTAGAGAAAATCGATGGATACGACCCACTTTGATTCATTCAAACATTCGAAAATGCTTTCTGCTGCTGCGGACAAGAAAGCCAAACAACTCACGTTCACCGAGGCATCAACCTCCAAAACCCTTTCGAGGGCTACAAGAAACGAAGTGAGTAGCCTACAAGATTGAAGCTGGTCAGATAACGAACGAGTAAATGAAAACAGAATGAGGCGGAGAAGTGTGTGTGTGTGTGTGTGTGTGTGTGTGAGAGAGTGTGATTATGTGGTGTGTGTGTTGTGTGTGGTGTGTGTGTGTGTGTGTGTGTGTGTTGTGTGTGTTTTTGTGTGTGTGTGTTGTGTGGTGGTGTGGTGTGGGTGTGTGTGTGTTGTTGTGTTGTTGTGTGTGTTGGTGGTTGTGTGTGGTGGTGGGTGTGTGGTGTGTGTGTGTGAAGAGAGAGAGAGATGATGGAGATGAGAGTGTGATAAATAGACCCATTGTTTTACAATATAATAAAAACATTGAATGGTGTTTAATTGAATAGGAAAGGGGTTTAACCGTTAGTGGCAGTTGTGTGTGGAGAGATAATATAATAAGCAAGCCCTATATTTAAAAAAAAAAATCTATTTATTTTTCGAACTTTCATTTCCCAACAATTCGCACCGCATAAAGATCTACATAAAAACCTGCCGCATGTTTAATCGCATAAATCAAGGAGTTTTTTGCTCCGCGTTTTGTGTAGAGGGTTCTATAGCTTATACTCATAAATCATAGTTTTTTTGCTATCAATTAGCCAAGGATTAGTGCTGGAAAGTTATGATAAGCCAGTTTCAAAATCTTAAAATGTTGTTTAAATGTGTGATCCTAAATTGTAGTTAATGATGTACCTAAGATGTGGTTTATTTTGTAATTGTATGCTTTGCGAATAATTTCTTTAATGTATGCAAATTTAAAAAAATTAAAAATAAATTAGAATACATTGAGACGATAGCAGTGTACTATTTAATTTAGAAAATGTTAGTCTAGATATCTGTCCAAAATAGTGCTGGAAATGTATGAATAGCCAATTTCAAAAATCGATTATCTAATCTAATTAATTTTTCGTTTAATATGGTGCTGATCTCTTAAATAACCCCTGCTATGCCACCACCAAATCCGATGTTTTTTTTATTCTGAGGTGTAGCCCTTGCGATGCTAGCTTCCCAAGTCTGGCCTACAAAAATAGCGTTAATCAGTGGCATCTCTCTGTTAGTTGCTCTAGTACCTGTGTTGTACCCGTGTTAGAGGATCCGTGGTGTGGAGGTGCTGTGGTACAGGGCTGTGGATAGGATGCGCTTCATCGAAAACTGGTGTCTGGTCAATGGCTATATGGTGATTGTATACTGCCGCTCCTCAGCTTCCGGTATTCATCTGCCCTGCGTGATCCCACGTTTACGAGCTGGTGGAGCCTCTTTGTAGGTGGGTCAAAGGGTCAATAAGTCCTAAACTGTTATTGTTTTAATGATTAAGAGTGCAAGGTTTATTGTCATGTGCCAGTAGTACAGTGTATTTTATGAAAAATCTTAGACGTCACAGGCTCCTCCAACAATGCAACATTGGATATTACATGGACGGTAAACAAATTAAAACTTCGGGTTCATATATAGTGCAATGAGAATTGTATTTTTGAGATGTGCAAAGTTTAATACAATATTAAAATATTAGTTGCAAGAGAGTCCTACGTTAAATGGTAATATGAGTGTATTAGATTATCATTAGTTTCATTTGGAAAGGTTTTAAATAAAGAGATGCCAAAGTGGAATATGTTTTATATGCGCTAGCCGTAAAACAAGACTTGTAATCAATACTTAAAAAATGTAATATTTATAGTTTAGAGAATATATGAATAACAATGTTGGGCTTCTCTGTCGTATTTCGGGGGGAACTTAGGACTAATGATGATATTTTATAATACGGGAATCTAATTCATTCTATGAGCTTATTTGTTATTGTGTATACTGATTATCATAAATCAAGTCAAGAAAATATTTTTATGCTTATAAATATTTCATAAAATCACAGCAGCGGTTATACGATACATATAGATGTAATTGTGGTCTAATTTATATTGTGTGTTAGGTAAATCACTGTAATAACAAAACACTATAATTAGGCTGTCAACAATTTTACTTAGTTTTACATATAATTGTTCATTCATGCATGCTCCAAATCATAGCTTTTACGTGATAGTTAATGGGCAAGTATTGGAACATTTTTTCTGTTAGGCATTTTTAGGCCACTAGGTAACAGCTAAATACAATCAGATCCCAGTATGCCTTAAAATTCTCAAATTATTGTTAAATTCCAATCTACAGTAATGAAATGGACGCAACTACTTTACTGTAGCTGTCCAAACATGAATAAGATTCACAACAACACACTAATATCAGGAGACTAGAATATTACGTTTCTGCTTGTTTCTTCCTCTCAGAAAAGCAAACACAAATGGTCTTGTCTCAGGGCCAAGTGTATAGAGACGATCAGAAGCTATTAAGTTAAAATAAATGTTAAGTATTTGCTGTAATGATTCGAATACTTCACTTATCAGAAAAGGAGGAGAAAAAGTCTGCGTAATTATCAGCAACAACGGGACAAAACTCTCTTCATGCCTGTCATACACAAGTCAGTGGTACGCCTCATTACTCGGCGCTAGGTGGGCCATGCAGTATAGGAGGTTGGTATGTTTCATTTAACTCATGCCCGACTGCTTGTCTGTGTCTTCTAGAGCGAATCAGCAAGTGCAAATCAACGGAGCAAGAGGGTTTCTCTCATCCTCAATCTCTGAGTGGGATGCACTTCAAAGATGGTCGAACTTCCAAGTACAAGAGCTTTTAGGGCACTGAGGCGGGTGGGTGGGTGGTCACAATGTGCACTTAGAGCTATTCTGAGAACAGCTATTGCTTCCTTATGCATATATATATATATTTCCATGGTTTGATTGT